CCTCTGCCCCAAACTCGTGCTGGAAACAAGTATATTTGTGTGGTGTTGGATTATTTTACCAAGTGGCCGGAGGCATATGCGATACCAAATCAGAAAGCTACAACTGTAGCTTCGGCTATTAGTGACATCTTCTTCAGATTTGGTATGCCATATGAACTGCATTCAGATCAAGGCCATAACTTTGAATCAGCTGTGTTCCAAAAATGCTGCAAGTTGTTTGGCATCCGAAAGACCAGGACAATGCAACTTCACCCACAGTCTGATGGGATGGTAGAAAAGTACAACTGGACACTAGGACAGGAATTGGCAAAGTTTTGTAATAGCCATTAAGATGATCGGGATGTTTTTCTCCCTCCACTATTGATGGCCTATAGGACAACAGAGCATAAAACCACTGGATACACTCCAGCAAAGTTGATATTTGGTCGGGAACTTCGGTTGCCAGTGGGTCTGTTAACAGGACTCCCACCTTATGAAGAGTTGCCTGAAAATGTGTTAGAGTTTGTGAAAGTGTTATCGGAAAGGATAGATGATATTCACCATCAAGTGTGTACAAACTTGAAAACGTCTGCTGATTCGATGAAGTTAACATATGATAAGAGATCTACTGAAGTCAGCTTTGTACCAGGAGACAAGGTATGGTTGTATAATCCCAGGAAGACCAAAGGGAAGTCTCCTAAGTTGTCTTCTCCATGGGAAGGCCCATATGACATAGCGGATTGTCTCTCAGACGCGACTTTCCGGATAAAATGTGGTCGGCGAGGTAAGCCAAAAGTGGTGCATGCCAACAGGCTTTGGTGTTATCACGGTCCAGGACATTTCAGTTGGGATGAAGTGGACAACAGAACAAATGACGCTGCTGAAGAAGCCACCGTCGAAAAAGAAACTCTACTCAGTTTGAGAAGGGAAACGATGAAGTTCTTGATGAAGTTACTACCACTGATGTGACTGTTACAGATGATAGGACATTTGCTGATGAAGCAGATGAATCCCACATGAAGCAGAAGCCAACGAGACGGAGACCAGTACGGAAGAAGATACGTCCCGTAAAATTAAGATACTTTGTTGAAATGTAATTTTGTGTTTGTAATTCTGTACATTTAATTAAGTTATTTTTAATTGTTATTGGTTTAATGTAAGTGGCTATTGTTCGGAACAAACAATACTAAGGAGGGGGCAGTGTTGCGTCAGCGAGGTCACGTGACTAGTATCACGCCACGTCCTTCTCGAACCTTCTCGAAAAGAGCTACCAAATGATGTTCAAACCCTAAATCATTTCCATCATTATATAAATGTTCGAAGTTTACACTTCAGATATGTCATGTAGCATTGAAGTGTTTGATGATCTGATGAATTTTTGTAATCCAGAAATCGCTCCAGAAACATCAAGAGTTTGACTATAATATTGTACATCATTCTGGATGGGACCATGGACTTTCTAATGCATTATTCCACAGACTAAATGTTAATTAAGAGTGCAAACAATGAGAAAAGAAGGAAATGTAAAATAATAAAGGATAACCTAAAGTCTAACAGAGTATAATCCAAGATGTAACATAAGTGATGATGAAGAACTGATGTGATGCAATAATTAACCGAAAGATACTCAGGCAAATGCTACAAGTTTGGAACCACATATTCAGTGGATCAAAAATAATCCCGAAAGACTTTTTAGCAAACAGTTGCTCAGTATAGCCCCAAAACAAAGATTTATTAAGCACAGACAGACTCATTATGCCTATAAAAGGGCTTATTATGGCAAAATTGGAATATAATTGTGGAAAAAAGCAATGATTTCAGTTGGTATTTTCGCATTCTCAACACTCCTCAGCACTCCATCATTTCCACGAATCTTCCAATGGCTGAACATTATTAAAAAGATATTGTGATTGTGTTTGGAAGTACATCAGTGAGAGAATGGCCAATTGGATATCTCAAGATAAGAACTTCCAAAAAGAAAGTCAATCCACCAAGGAGCTCAGGGCTCCTGTTAAGACTACTTCAATGGGGTCATCAATGAGGGTGCCGCCAGTGGATTCACCCAATCACTAACATAGACCTCCCCCCCCCATACACCCCAGTGACAATAAGGGACAAGAAGTTATCCCATCTGCATTCGATGTTGCTCAGAAGAAAAAAATCACCAAAAGATTGTATTAAGATTGTTCAGGAAACTTCACAATCCACGAAGGGGTAATGTTTAAGCTACATTTTCAATGTGACTGTGCAGGTTAAGTTGTGTCGTGCAATCCACAAATGTGCTACCCCCTTCATCCCAACTGGTAATGGAAGAAAAACGAAAGCTGCCAAAGTATGTAATTAACGTAATTAGAATCGGAAGAGTGTCCTACAAAAGGGTAAGTAGGGTAAGTTCGTTTACATTTTTAATAGTTTATAGAATTGATTGTGGTTGCAGGGTAAGGTGGAGACATGCCTTAATCTCTTCACACAGTAAGGGTTTAGTTAGGATATTTAGTGTGTTATCTGAACTGAAGGGGCGATGACTGACTGTATGAGATGGAGTCTGGGAGCCTACTCCTGGAGTGCGGCGGAGGATGCTTGATGGTTGCTACGAGGGAGTCAAAGCCTCTCGGCTGAAATTCCTGATGTGGCTGATTATCGAGTTAAAAATTGTCTCGTGTCTTCAGGGGTCGTGGGCATGGTGATTTTTTCTGGTCGGCGGGCTCTGCTGGGATGGAAGTTATCAGAGATCGAGGAGAACTCTGGGTTTTACCAGGGTTTGAATCGGATCTGAGACGACCGTCCTTGGTATAGCTAGCTGTCGAGTCGATAGGTTACCATGTTACCTGGTTTGGGTGTACGGAAGTGAGATCAGGAATTTCAGGCGTGTTGTGGAAATTACCTCTTCGAGAAAGGGAGGATCTCGAGTGCTTGCATGTCTCTGTTCCTGTCCCTTGTTTTGGCTTATAGGGCTGGAACACCAAAAAGAGTATGTAATATGTGTGGGGTAGCGAACTGACTTGGAGAGTAAGGACCTAACATGCTGGATAGTCTGGATCAATGATCCAAAGTTACTCAATATAGGTAATAGTTTAAATTCCAGATGTAAATCGAGAGTAGTCTGTTATCGTATACCAACAGTAAAGCTAGCACTTAAAGTTAAAAATTGTTTGTCATTGGAAAGAAATGTAGAAAAAAGGGTATTATGTCTTAGTTTTAACAGCATCGAGTAACTAAGTACAGCTACAACTCCAATATCTAAAGTGCTCAGACTAAACATCTGTGGGAAGATGACGTATAAAATAGGCCATCAATAGGTAAATTTTAGGTAGGAATGAGTAAGGCGTGTTGCCCACAGAAACAGAGTCTGGGGCGATATATGTAAGCTAGATTCCGGTCTGTGTAGATCTCTAGCATGGTTTTCTTTTGTGCATGGTTTCATTCTTAGAATACAACTTCCTTAATTTGAGTGACAGGGCTCATTACAAAAATTACATGTTCCTGGTGAATGAGTAAAGCTGAAACGTTGAACAAATAAAACAAGTTGTAAGATTCTCTGGTGTTCACGGTTATATATATCTATTTACAGTTATGTATATTATTCTCCAGTCAGCATTCCGTAAATTAAAGGTTGTAAATACATTTTCACCTTTGTTTCATTTGTTAGCTTTTTGATCTTTCTTTGACTCTAGAAATTACTAAGTTTGTTTGTTGTTAAGCACAAACCTACACCGTGAGCTATTTGTTCTGTGTCCATCGTGGGTTTTGTATATGAGGCGGAATTGAGGGGCATTGGGTGCACAGGCACCCGAAATTTTACCCAGTAGCGAAGTGTCCCTTTGAATTAGGAATAGAGACTTGTGCATAAGTATAAGTAATATGAAAAGTCGCTGTTTCAATGGTCTTGATTAACATAGCAAATAAGACCCCCCCCCCCAATTGTCCGCGCCCACTAAATTCAAATATGTTGCACTGAGTGTTATCAAAACCTAATTTTAAACGTTAACGCCTGCAGGCTTACTGCTAAGCCACCAGGTGGTTAACTTATTAGGCAAAACCTGTCAGCGCTTAATATTTGAACATTCAATTCACCTGTAATTTTTAAGACATCAAATACCAACCCTAACTTGAAATCATGTAACTGAGAGCTTAATTTGTTTATTGTTTAGTGCAAAGGGACAGAATGGGCTATCTATTTGCGCTCTGTATCCAAACCTGATTTTTAGAAAAATAAACCAGACTTTTCACTGAGCCTCTAAGATACCTAAATGTATTTGTTTGTTTGTTTTAGAGCAAAGGTACAATGGGCTATGTGCGGGGAATCGAACATCAGATGTTAGCGTTGTAAGTCTGTAGATTGCTGTTGTTCCACAGGGATGACCTAATTGAAAACAATAGTAATCAATTTTCCTAATATGATATATTTAAGATTTTCGTGGATAAACACCCATAACATTTTCCTGTTAAATTTTAAAATGTAAAATAAAAATATATTTTCTCAATAGTTTGGTTTTCATGATCCTTTGCAAAACTAGTACATGTGAAAATCATTATATTTTCTTAAACTTTCGCAACAGAATGGAAGAACATATTGAAATTGGTGTAATAATATTGTAAGTGATTTGTCAAAATATAGTTCTTTATATAAAACTTACTGTTTTAATCTAAAATGAAATAAAACAACTGCTTTTTATAATAACTGATTTTAAATTAGTGTGCTGTACTGGTTCTAGTAACAATTAAACAGGAATAATGCATTTTAGTAAAAACGAAGCCTGGGATCTATTTTATACGTAGGAATTTTATATAACTTGAAGGCGGTTTAAACCAGTTCGACAAAGACACAGAAGAAAGAGCGTAAGTAATCAGTCGTACGTTGTAGTTGTGCAAGAAGAACCTGTGGTAAGTTGAGTAGCTTTACAATGAAAATTATTGTGTAGAAATTAGCTGTATGAATAATATACTGATGTAATGCAGAGTTTTAAAAGAAGGCGATATAATTTAAAAGCTTCTTTATTAAATATTGATCATGTCTTTAGTTTAGTTTTACTCCATAAGGCCTGAGTTAGCCGTAACACTATCACTATATTAGTAACATGAAAATGGCGGAATCAGGCAGTGCGTTCTTTTGCCGCTGTCATGAGCTAATATAATTGAACAAATTGTAAAAATATATTCTTGTGAATTGAAATCTATTTATACTGAATGTAAAGTGTAGCTCAGCGAGATATCAAATATGGACTTAGTTTGTGTTTTAGGAGAAGTACGGACGAAACCATAATACGTTTGTAGTGTTATGACTCGTACTTCGACTCGAGTGTGACTAATGTAACTTCGTAACATAAAGCAACCACATCCCAAAGGCGCCATAACGGAATATGGTTAACTTTTGCCCTATATGTAATTTTGAACGTAACTTTTTGTTACAATTACGCTTGCAATGTGTTATTATACGTTTATAAATGTTAATAAGTTACAAAAATCATTAAACAAACTGGTTTACTATGCGATGTATTTGGATATTTTTTCCAGCACTTTGTCTGCAGGTTTATTCGAACGACGCCATTTTAATTTTAAGCGGAAGTGAAAGAGATTTGTATGAGATTATTTGTAAATGTTCTTTTTGTAGATCGATCATACTTGTAAGTAGCAAAATTTATTAAACCTTGTGTATTACTTTCCATTTTGTTATTATTAATTAATATTTATATTCTACGCACATTTTCTGACATTTTTATCTAATATCAATTTTTTTCGATAGCACAAAACCATTATTTTGATCAATTGTTTTCTGGAATTATTAATTTACCGAGTGTATCATCACGAAATGTGGCAGGCTTCTTTTTAGTACACAAACAATTTTTTATTGAAATTTATTTCCCCCAAAAACTAATTTGTGGAATCAAGTGACTGCAAGTAAAAGTTGCGATGTGGTTTTCATGGTAAGACTAAAAATACATTTCATTGTATAACCTCTACAACTTTCTAAATCATTAAATGAGTACCAAATTTTTTTAAGATAAAAATTAAAAGTTTGATCTCATTATTATATATATATCTAACTTTAGGCTAGCTGAATCATCAATATGTATTGAAAATGAAATCAAACCTTGAAAATTAGGTAATAAAATGAACACCCTTTTCTTTCCTTAGTAATTTGTTTCCATGTCTTAAAGTTGATATTTTGTAGCTATTCACCTTTCCAAGTTTTTAATTTTAGTTTTATTGCTTGTCTTGTATAACATACAATTTATTCATGTTGTAAAAATGTCCGTTCCAAGACATAGGTTATGGTAAACAAATTTTTAATGTTATTAGTATCAAATCAAGATGTCTAGCTTAAATTAGATTGCTGCCAATTTCAAAAGGCTATTGCATACTTGAAATTTGTTATTTCTATTGCTTATAAACATGGGTTGGGAAAATTCATCACAAAATGGAGAAGTTTTAACATTGGAATTGTATATTGTTCCTTGGTATAATTCAGTGTTTATGTAACAGTGTATATAGTGAGCTATTTAAGTTATGAAATTGAAAACTAAAATGGGAAATTGAGTGCCTGTACATCATTGCATATTGAGAATTTTCAAAATATTTTATTTTGAAACCAAGGGTTTAAAACTAATACAAATTTGATTATAAATTACATTTTGAGATAGTTTATTAAATTTTGAAATTAAATCTGATATGAAAAACATGAGATGGCAAGCTGGAAGCGTAATTGAGAATGAAATGTATTATTCGCAACAGCATGGAAGAATATGATGTTATATGTTACTGTACTTCTCATGATGACTGTGCATGAAACAGTTCTTTTGATGTTTGCTAATGCGTTACGTGATTCTTAGCTTGAATGCATTATCTTGCCAAACCTGAGTTGCAGCTTAACCCTATCATCATGGGTAAAAGGCCATGTCATTGCATTTGATTCTCATTCAAAATTTTGTTGAACTACCATTTTATGAATTTGTCTAACTTTGGTACCAAATTGTAGGTTATAATTCAAATTTTAGTATTATAACTTAGTTAGTTTCTTACTTTAAAAGTAAATATTAAAGAAAACACCTTTATATCAATGATTATGTGGTATGTTAAGAATGCAACATTGGTTCAAATTATGTTTATGATGTTTAAATACAAAGGCTATAGTTTCTTATGAATTATGAACTCAAATTACCTATAGCTAGAATATAGAATAACCTCACATCTTTTGTATTTGCTGAGATATTGCCAACCTTTTGATTTCTAAAAACTTGCTTACGTACGCCCACTCAGAATGCCCTCCTAGTAGCTTTCTCAGCCTCTTTGAAGTATTCAGACAGCAAACTTTGTTTTCATGCTTTTTTCCAAATGGTAAGGTAAGATTAGTGAGCTCAATTTCTTTTTTAGACCCAATACAGCTTAGTTACTAAGCTTGAAAACGTATACTGGAATTCTATGGTACTGATATAGTAATTTGATATTTGGTTATATCAAAGTGTATACATATAATCTAAAAAACATTTTGTTCCACATCCTCCGCGTGCAAAATTTGAAAAGGCTTGGCAAGCAGCAAACAAGTACAAAGTTCGTTACTAGAAGAGAATTGTTTGCTACACTTTATTTACTGTTCTGTGTTTTAAGAAAAATAAATTTAAGAAGCTTAATTGTAAATGTAACACAACCAAGACAGGTCACATTGTAAAGGCCAGTTTTATATTCTTGGAAAGGTAACATGAGTGAGCTGCATCATTATTGCAACTTCTGTAATGTTAGCCATCCATGGCTGGAAGATCACTATAACAAAATGTATAATGTTATGATATTTAAGCTATTTATACTGAACATTTGTGTTTTTGTTATAATTGTAGTCATTCTACAATGGATAAAAGCATAACATATATGTCATGATTTTATATGGTGGTTACATGGTTGGTCAATTTGACCGACCCAGTATAGTTAGGGTAGAGCAAATAACAGATAAAATAGTTTTACTGAAAACATGTTAGAAATGTATTTGGGAGGTTTGAGATAAATGATATTCGAGATTTTTGGAATGAAGAATAGTTTTTTATCATAACTTGAAAATCACTTTGTACTCGAATTAGTAACGAAACAGACTTGATATATTCACAAAAATACGTCATTAAAAAATCTTTTCTTTTATTTTGTGTACAAAAGGCTTATGTTTAATAAGAGTACCAAATTGTGTGAAGATAAACATACTGCATTAAAAGTTGTATAAATACTTAATGTGTACAAGTATGTACTTGTTGCCAGAAGACTTGTTAATTTTCCTGAAATTTTATGAATCTAATAGTACTTCATTAGATCTCAAACTATACCCACAGGTTTGTCAATTTGTATGTACTGAATTTTATTAATACTATGGCCTAGAATTGTTCAAGTGGAACAGAAGACATTTTATAAGAATTAAAATAATAGACTGTATTCATTGTTGTAGAAATTGTGTCGAACATGCATTAAACAAATATTCTTTATTCAAACACTAGTGTGAAATGCTTGAAGTTAAGACTAGCTTGTCAGTTTTTTTAATATGTTTGATTTATACAACTAGTAAAATAAAATCAAGTTGTTTAAGTTATTAGCTCCATTGTATGTACTAGGGTGTGGGTGTTTGACAATACATACAAACATACATTACCTAAACTTTACTCTCCTATTTTAAGGTAAACAAAATGGAAAGAAGAGAAAGAGGAACAAGAGTTTTTGTTGGAGGTCTTACTGAAGATATTCAGAAGGAAGACTTAGAGGAGGAGTTTGGTAAGGTTGGGAAAATAGTCAGCGTTTGGGTAGCAAGGAATCCTCCAGGTTTTGGATTTGTTGAATTTGATGACCGTGCAGATGCAGATGAAGCAGTAAATTCCATGAATGGTCAACTCATTCATGGAACAAAAATCAGAGTAGATATGGCAAGAGAAAGACGTGGTAGAGGGGGAGGAAGAGGAGGTTTCCAAGGAGGAAGAGGTTTCCGTGGTGGATTTGATAGGCGAGGACCATCATATGACTCGTACAGAGGAGATGGCGGATTTAATCGTAGAGGTGGTGGATACAGATATAATGAAGGAGGCTACGGATCTGGATCAAATTATCGTAGCAGATCCCCAATGGGTAACAGATACTAATTTTCACAAGTGAGCAAATAATTAGTGACTTTAGAATTTGTCATTATAGTCAATGTACTAATGAAAATGGGTCACTTAAAATTAACATAGAGGTTTAACCTGCCAACATATTTTATAATAGATACTTGAATTTTGGTATGGAAAAATGCAAGTTAGCATTAGTTATTTAAAGTATTGACTGGTAAGCACGTTTTAGGTGTTAAGTGTATAACTGTGCATCATACTTTCAATAATGAAGTAAAAGTAATTAACTATTTCAACAGTTTATTTAGTGTAATTCATCTAAAAAGGTGAACAAGAAAATTCAAACTTGTGTTTCTGCACACATCGAAGGAGTCTTGAATGTAAACAGCAGTTTTCAGAATTTTTCTGTCCATCCCAAAGTATAGGTATATATATTTTTAAGAAACTATCCTTTGAGAATGTAATTATCAATGTCTTGTTTCTCATGTCATTTTTTTTTCCATATTTCTCCGAGTTTTATTATTATAGCCTCTCCAATCTCATCCTTTTATGACCACAGCAGGTGATTTAACAACTATTAATGAAACTCAGTTTTCAAAGTATGTACACGGGCAAAGTTTGAATAAATTGGATAAAAAAAAGATTATAAACTGCTTGCATCAATGTACTGAATAAGTTGGTCCCAGAAGTAATTTATTTTATTGGAAAATGAGAAGACCTAGCTCATGCAGAGAACAACTAAATGTAGTGGTAAGTTCAGAAGACTTGGGAAAACTCATCTGCAAAGTGTTTGGTGATTCTGAAAGTTCTTTTTTATTCCCATTTGCTTTTGTAAAATTAAGTTGTTTGAAAGCTACAAATTATCTTACATGGCAAGACATCAGGTAAGCTTTTAGGTATATAAAGTACGTAAGTAACTAGTATTTTGGTGTCACAAATCCTTACTTATTGAATACAAGCAGAATTTAATTTTTCTTTAAATTGTATATCAATAAATGTTTTATGAACATATTTTCAAAAAATGATTAATCTAGTAACTATATATACATATGAAGAATGGCTATCATATTTCTAGTATTTTACAAAAACCTTTTTAATGTATATTTGGTTGTCAAATTTAACGATTACTTGATTATCATTTTGACTTCCTTGTATTTTCAAGCTATGTTCAAATGTTCTTGATAAATACATCGATTGAAACATGCAAAAAAAACTGATTCTGAAAGATATTCCCAATTGGTCAACTGTATGACCCTGCATATTTTGATGGTAAAGGCAGTGAATTTTGGGTATTCTCTTTGGACTGTCTTTGTTTTGTTTTTTTAGCTGAGTTGAAGATGCGCTTTAATTTGAGCATTTTATGGATTTAAATTTGCTGTGTAAAACATGCAGGTTTTAAAATTTAGCCAAGTCTGACTGGACAAAATTTGGTGATGTTGCATCTTTGTCACCTTGACAACCAAGCAAGCATAATGGGGGGGGGGGGGAATTTCAGCCAATGATTGTGATTTTGGTGTGTCAGCAATATCAAGCAAGGGACGTGTGTCTACCTGATTAAATATTTTTTACTCTTAACAACCTCTACCAGCCTACCCTCAAATCTAATTATGCCCAAAGTAGTGCATCACCCATTTTATATATGGCTGGAAGAATGGATTTTTGTCTTTATATAGTAGATTACAAAGCTTATTGTATTCAAATAATGCACATGCATAAAATTGAATTTAGTGAAAAGAAGTTTATTTTTTAGGGTATAAATTAATTCAATGAATAATATTGTTTTCTAGCCTGATGTATTACCATTTTAAAGTATGCTCTAGCTAAGTCACTGATCAAATTTGTTAGTTTGTGCAGTTTTCATTTTTAATGTATTTTCAATAGGAAGGGGTATGTCAAGGAATATTGGTAATTTAGAATTATTAGTACACAATGCAATGAAATTTCCAAATAAGTAATTTAGCTCAATTACAAATAACCATTGTTGAATAATTTGGGATATAAGAATTGTTGCAATTTTTCAATACTGGTAGAGGGTTTTGTAAGTGTAAATGGTGATAATGGTCAAGGGCAGACACTTGAGAGTGCTATTTATTGCACCTCAATTTTGGTGCAGCATGCTCTACCACGCAGTCTCGAGTCAGATTGACATTTTTGGTGTGTTGATTGCCAAACAATGCTTTGTTTCTTTCTCAGTAATGAATAATGGATCTCAAACTGATTTTATTTGTTACTCATCAACTGTTCCACAGCAAGTTTATGAAATCAGTTAATTTCATGGTTATTGCACTCTTAACTTTTAAATACAAATATATAAATTGAAATTCAGAATAAACCACTATCACAAGTCAAATAATTAAAAAATGATTTCTGATTAATTTTGTTTATTCCAACTATGTAATAGAAATAATCTAATTGTTTTATGCAATAAGACTTTTTTTTGCTTTTTAAGTTTGCTTGTGAGAATAATATTAGTAAATTCCACAAATCATCCAGCTTAGTTGCTAATGCTCTTAAGTCTAGTAGCCAGAAAATCTTTTGTGGTAAGATTAGTTTTTACCTTTTGTCTAATTTTCTATTTTGGCAGAGTTGTTTTAGATAATAGAGATGAAAGATTATTTTTTAGGTAACACATTTGTAATCTCTACTTTAAATTGAATTAAGGCTTGTATTCGGGAAGCTTTTTAGTAACATTTAGTGGAGTTGCTCTCAATAGCACAAACTATCTGTGATGTGCCCAGAGTATACATAAACCTTACAGCTCCTAGTTTCATAGTTTGTAAAAGTCGGAACAATATCCGATTTTCTGCATAATTTTTTATTTTCCTTGTAGGTGGCACCACATCACTTTTTTGCTGTTATCCAGTTTCATGTTTAGCAGTAAAGATAAATGATTTTCTAATGAATTCTTTTAGATAGTAATGCAAAGTAGTACCACTTAACATTTCTTTTTTTTTTTCCAGATGCTTCCATGGCATATTTTCATTAATCTTTTCTGCTTCGTGCTTTGTTTTCCAGGACCAACACAATGAATAACCAGACTGCAGTCTTATGAATTATTTATTGATCTACTTTTGTCAATACATTTTGATGTGTTACTAAGCAGTTTTAAGTTGTAATTGGTTTGAAGCTTTCTACAGAAAGGTAAGTTGAATCCCACGCTTCGTCACTATGAATGGAACTTTTAAGCTGCAAGATAGCACACAGCAATAAAATAATAGGAATTACTCGGTGTTATGATGGCCTATAATTGCTGCAAATAGTCATTTTAATTTGGTTCAAGTAAGTGCGTTGTCTGTGTAGGGCAAAATTAAACTGTTTGGTGTACTACCCATAAAACCTTTGTGATATTTAATTCACGTAGAAATGATCTATCTAAAGACAATTAAAACCCAAATCATTTTGAATGTTTTTTTCTTTATGAATAAACAGGGTATGAGAATATCCAAAACCTTCGGGGCACAAGCTCCAAACCTTCTGGAAATCTTGAGCACCAGGGTGTGGTTGATAAGGTATAATTGAACCAAAGCTTGTTTTAATTGCATCCCTGGTGGATTTACAGTCGTATACTTCCTATCTCCAGGTTCCTCTACAGAGGTGAATAAAATCAACATACCTGTCCCATTGGATGTAGTACTGACATTAGAGAATGCAAAGTTACATTTTTATTACAAAAAATGATGCAGCTCTCAGACAGAACTGGCTTTAAAGTTGAACTGAATCTTGTGTTGATGATAATGCTTAGTTGATTGAAATTAACTACATATTGGGATTGCCATGCTGGCAACTTCCTATATTTCTTGGGGTGGGTGGGGAATGGCTGACATGATTATTCGTGTCAGCTCTACAGTAAAATCTTCAGGTGTCAACCATCCCCTTCAGTGCATATTGTAGATATATGCACAACTATTCTGCAACCCTGCCATCAAATGTGCTTCATGTAGCATACAATTTCCATACCATAGATCTTGTGACGATTTGCCTGATTTGTATTGACATTCCTGGTTACCAGAATCTTGGTTGAATGACTGTTTAGTACAAAGCTGGCTGGTTTTCAAGTATGTATACTCTCCACAAAATGTAGCCCAAAGACTTGTCTACATTTTGAAGTGTTGTGTAGTCTTCTGTACGTACATGGTGGACAGTGTCCTGATGAACATAGTCTCTTAATCCAACTGAAATAATTTGCTAGAAGCCATTTTTCCATCTGATTTTCATTTTGTCTTGATGAGTTTCACTGCTTTTAATGTTGGGTTTCCATGCAAATGGAGAACCATAATGACATTGCTTCAGTAATCCAATGCAATTACTCCTTTCTTCAAACAGTGTCTACTGAGTAGAAGTTCTGCACCAAGTCGATTCAGAAGTATGGTCATCGCGTCTGTGAATGTCCTTGTTTACAAGGGCTGTATATTTCTGCAACTGACTTGTTTCACCACCAATTTTTGATCTTTGAGTGTCATCTGATGTTGCCGTCTTCTAGCTTTCAGTTATGTTTATGAAGTTAAAAATTCACATATCTATCATTAAAAATTACCAGAATTCTTGTATTAGTCAACGTAATGGCCAAGCTTGCAAGTGTTTTTGATGTACAGTTTCAGTGAAAGTTGACAACCTAACCTGTTCTTAAGTCTGTTTGCATGACTTTTTATCCTGTATGGCTAATATGATAGAAAACTTCAGTTTTTACAAGTCCCATAATAATGATGATAGTCATGCATTTAGACTTAAATTGATATTTCTTTTATGTTCATGTATTAAACAGCCCTGTTCGCTCTGACATAAATTAGTAATAAAATTCGACTTGTCTTAATATCAAGTTCAGTGTCTTTACTTCTCTGCAGCATATTTTCTTGTATAATTTTCCTCCTTAAGTTCTTGTCAGTGACAAGCATAACAACCTATGAAATTAATGTGTTAAAACGTTTAGTATACATCTTACTTGGACCCATACAAAAAAAGTATCAAATTTAAATGTTTGAATTGCAAACACATTTTGATATTGGTGACTGTACGAAAATAGCAGATATTGTATGCTTTTTTGGAAGGGAATATCTTTTACTGGGGCATGAAAGACAGTTCAACAATAATCTTTTCATATAAATAGTTATTCGTATGATGCTCAACTAACCTCAAAAGCACGAAATTGTTCAATATTAAAATTTTGAATTTTCTTTTATTCAGTTCCAATAATGAATAATAATTGACTGTGCAGATTTTTAAAATTTGTTTTGATTATGACTAATGGGTTTTCAACATAATAGGTATATGGTAACCTTGGCTTGCTGCTAGAGAATAATTAGCGAAGTGAAACAATTTAAAACTGATAACATAATTATACATTCAAATACTATTAAATTTTTGCCTTGCTGGCAGTTTGAAAGGCCCAAATATTAATTGAGGTAATAAATGACTGGTTGTTGTACGTGAGAATTCACTTTTTTCTTTGTTGTCACAAACAGTAAGGTTGTACAGAATATTTTGTGCATTCTTCATATCGTTATACACCAGTGATGAACAGTGAAATTGGAAGTAAAAATTTTTTCAACATCATCCCTACATTTAGAAAATTAGTATATAAGGCCAAAGTTTAATACTTGAAAAATCACGAGTATGTGAACTTTTACGCTTTTAGACTGAAGATAAAAGAATGTCCTGGAAACGTCATATAAGCCACTTTTCTTGACATGATTTAAGTAATAATGAAAGTTTAAGATTAATAGGGAGAAACCTATACATTTTTTCGCTTGATTATAGTATCTTTGATTAATGTTTCGATGTTTTAAGAAACTCCTTTAAAGGTACTTGGAATTGAATAAAGGATTAGCTTAGAAGTTAATGTCCTCATCTAATTGGCTACTTCATGTACGTTGTTTTTTAATTGTTTTATTAATGTTACCAAGAAAATAGACACAAATATGTACTGAATACTAAGCCAGAAATTTGTCAGATTAATTTTGTAAGTGTAAAATATTTTTATTAGCACGAACTTGTGGAAAGTAAATAGCATAGTGTTTTAAAGAATTAGTTGTGAAATAGACATCAAAGATTAACCATGTTAACTAATCTTTTTCATTGTAAAGCTTTAATTATCTGTTTATTCCACGTGAAAGACATTACAAAAATATAACTGCGTAGGTCCTGGGAAGTTGAGAGAATGAGCTAAAAAATACCTATTAGAAGTCCCAGAGGAATGAGTTTAAGTCATGGTCCTGGAGGTAATTTTAAGTAAAAAAAATAATAGTTTGATAGAAAAACTAGTCCTAATCAGTTTTCTGTAAGCTTTGTATTGGCCACTGAATTTTTGAGTATTATGAAATATAAGGCAATTAAAATTTCCATTGGCATGCGCATTTGATAAACGAAAATTTTAAGTTTAATCCTACTTAACTTGAGTATAGGTCTTTGAAATAGTTGGATATAAATGAGAAACTACTGCCTTTCTAATTCCAAGAATGAATAATGACTGAAGAGTAGCAATATGAGGAACTAGCCCTTAACATGTGTTGTAGGAAGTGTACTTAAAGGCTGGCTTTAGATCGTCATGGAAAGGTCAAATAACGTTGGGATGCAGTATTTCTATCATGTTAGAGAGGGCTTAACAACAGTACAGTGTACTTGACCATGTATTGTCCGAAAGTGTTTTGAAGAGCATGATGCGGATTTTTGTCATCGGTTGGTCAGTAAAAACACTAAAATAATAATATAGTCAAGTTATTTTTAGCTGAAACAGAATGAGTTGTAACTGCAACTTCTGTTAGAGAATTTTTATAAATATAAAAGCTGAAACTGAAAAGATGTGTGAGAACAAATTGGGTCCCCTTTCTGTATTGATGTTGCTAATTGTAATAAGAAGGGGGCTAAACTATTCCCCTATGCCTTTCAACGGTGTTTGACCTTTCGTGTAACTTTTTTCTTTTTACAAGTTAAATGTTTCGATCCGATACCACTTGTTTGTGGAATTTGAATATCCCCAGGTATCATGATAAAAAAAAAAAAATGCAGTGTCTTTGATCACTGTACCACCACATTTTAAATTTTCTTTGTACCCCTAAGTTCGTAAGTTACTATATTAGACAAGTGGTTCACCATTTACATTATTCGTAAAGTATGTTACAATTGTTAGATTCTAGATCATTTATCTGTGTCTAGGTTATGACTATGATCTAATCTTTGAAAGCGAAGTTTTCAGTTCTGTACATCTCACTCGAGAGTTTTATGTTGGACAAAATAATTCTATTAAAGCAGTCTGTATCTGAGACGTGACTCTCCTATGTAAGGACGAACGCTACCGCTGCCGAAATCTGACAAGGCTTAGCTCGCGATTTCTGTACTGAAAATAAGAGCGATAAGTTGTACAATTTACCTTTGCGTTGATTTCAAACTTTGTGTTAACTGTTGACATCTAAGGTTGTACTTGAAACAGTGCGATTTTTCAAATATGCCTTTAAAGGAAACACTGAAAGAAAAAGAGAAAATCGTATGTTAATAACCTTAAATTCTTTGTCCCAGCGAAGAGAGCATTACTGCAAGAATAGAGATAAGGTTAGAAACAGTAATGCTGAATATGTGAAACAAATCTTAGACATTAATCCAGCCAAAGAAAATCCTTGCTAGATGGAACAAAAACTATAGCAAAGTTATCGGGAAATGTCGAGAGAAAACTAAAGAAAAGCTTCGAGAAGAACAGGCCTAGAGCCTAGTTACTCTCGAGACTTGGTACTAAAAACTATGAAACTAGTGTAAAACATTTTAAAATGAAATCCTAAGAAGTAGGAATGGGCAGGATAACATTACAACACTTTTGTGGTTTTTGACAGGGTGCAATCTCAAAATGTGTGGGCGATCATTCGTCGGCAGAATGAAGTATGGCTGACATATTGTAACTTTCACTCACAAGTTCTTCGAATTACTACTGTATTTTTTCACCAATTGATGTTATGATTGGTCGACTTGTTTCAGGAACAAGACTAGCTTGCTGGTCCAACAGTTTTTTAATTCAAATGAATAAATAATAGTGTTATTTAACCTTATTCCAAAAATGTGATTTAGAAATGACTTAAAATTACGTTTCGGTTTCTTAATGTAGTTCACGTTATGAGAGTCGTATGTGAAAGTTGATAATATAGATAGCGCCTAGGTACTAATATATCTGTAGTAATCTAGTGCAGTGCTTCTCAACTGGGTGAATGTTTCACCCAGAGGCTAATGAGATCAGAAATGGAGGCGAATGAATATTATCAATTATACAACAAATTTAAGAGCAAAAATGTCATTAGTTATTATTATATTTTCTAGTTGTAGTTTGATATATATTTAAGTCATAATAAAGAATTTTAATTTAGTACTTTTTTTTTCTAACTTGGGTGAGGGAGCTGTTGTGAAGAGCTTATAGGGGTTAATGATATTGTCGATCTGACGAGCCCTTGTGTTAGGTGAAAGACTTCGTTGGTATTGGATATGACAGATGTAGTGTGGTTGACATAACATTATTTCACTCAGATTCTTAAAATTCAAGATGACTAGTGCAGATATAAATCAGGGCAACAAGGGAAGATTTGTTCCTTCAATGCTATCCTTGAAAGTATTCATCCCATTTTTAAACTCTCTTAAAGTGCTGGCCTTCACTATTTACGATGTCAACTCAATACATAAACTAATCTTGTGTTGTGTGAAAAATAAAATTCTTTTTTTTTGTATAACTTGTTCCCGTGTCCTGTTTTTATTAAAAGAAATCGGAGACTTTATTATTTATAATTAAAAACCAAATATATGTCCAGCTTACCAATTGTTTCAAGATATTTTGATATCGATATTATTAATGCAAAGACCCAAGCATTTAATAGTAACAAGGGTCCTACAGTCCAGTAAACTAGTCTATTAATCATTTATTTAACTACTTAAGAAAAGCTTTGTTAAGACCAAAAACTGCATGTCCACACCCTTTTTATCTTCGAAAGGAAGCAGATTAGCAAGGCAGGGTTTTCTTTTAGTGAAATCATGTTAGCCTTCTTTTATGATACATTTCATTAAATTGTTTGTAAAAATTCTTTTATCAGAATTTTGATTTTTTTCCACTAAAGAAGTAAGAATGACCGATCTGTAATCTCCAGTGTTACTGTTATCAGTCACGTTAAAAATACGAGTAGAATTAGCAACTCTCCAATTCTCATATACGCGCCAAATGGATTTTGACCTACCAAATATAAAGGAGGTTTGTGTACATGATCATTAATTTACTTTGAAACCATGGGGAGAAACTTGTCTGGACTTGGAGCTTTAATCTTAATTTGCTACTACCAAATCAAAGGAGTAATATATGCTGTTACGTATTTGCTTGTTTGTTAATTTCCGGTAAAACTTCTTTCCGAGGAACTTCAGCGATACAAGACCTTTCTTAATTAAACCAGTTTATTTTTTCCTTGTTACAACTTTGTAAAACACTTAATTTCCACAGTCACTTTCATTTAAACATACGCTATAATTCACGCACTTTAATTACGGTCACTACCGCTCACTCGACTCTATTATTTCCCTATCTGGCCTTATCTATGCCGTCCATTTCTCCCCCGCTTTATTTGCCGGGATTATATATACAAAATAGAGGGCGCGTAGAAAAGACTACAGTTCAGGAACAGAC